ACCCTTAACCGGAAATTATTCTGGAACTTTCCCATCCACCATTTGATATAAATACACGAATGTACAGCCTAACTGATGATGACTTCGTGGAAAGGAAAATTTTCTTCGCGTCAATTGTCTTTTTAATAGTTCATGATACATTTAGCGCGACTGGCACCAACCAATGTCGTCGGTGGGATATCCATCCTCACATGTGACATCTGGATGGATGGACCTCGCTGGTTACGACTTCTCACTAGAACTGAATGACTCCAGGAAACTCCATCCTGTAGCTAGTGGTCACTAGCTTAATTTTTTCTATAGTTTGGTTCGTAAGGGTTAGTTGATCACGGATTGATGATTCCCAAACTAGGCTGATGAAACAGCTGGCTGTCTGGCAGTACTTCCTGTGGCTGGTTTTCAATGGTTCTCTAATTGATATCAATCCGTGCGTGGTCAAACTCGTAAAAACAATGAGATCCAAGTTCCGTAAGAATAATGGTACTGAGTCTAACTTAGTTTTCATATGTCAATCAATAAAGCTTCCACTATAAAAGTTGTTATGAAAATAACCAACCAACAACAACAACAACAGCAACATCCAACGCCAATCACCATCAACGGGAGGGATTTGAAAGAGGTTACTTCATTCACTTATCTAGGAAGCATTGTCTCAACTACAGGAAGAACGGACGAGGATGTCAAATCGAGAATCGGGAAGGTGAGAAACACATTCATCAACCTGAAACCAATCTGGAAATCTTCGTCACTCAGCAACACTCAACAACAAAATGATTCGGATTTTCAATACAAACGTCAAGTCAGTCAGTTCTTCTATACGGATGGATCAGAAACTTGGCGGCGGGTCACAAAGAATATTTCCAACAGCCTGTTGCAGACCTTTATCAACAACAACTGTCTTCGCTGGCTCTATACTGAAGATCAGATGGCCACCGGAAAGAACAAGAACCAACAAGAAACTATGAGAACAAACAAACAAAACAAGAACCAATCGCTCAACAAATATGCAGGAGAAAGTGGAGATGGATTGGACACTCGCTGAGGAGGCCACTCGCTGGGTGACATCGCGCGTCAGGCCATCGCTCGAGTGGAAGCCGAAATGGAAGCGGCGAGTAGTGGGTCGTGTCTCCAAGGGTGACATGGAGGAGATTGTGTGAAGAGGAGTTGAAACAGTATGGATTAACATGGATGCAGGTGAAAAGTACAGCAGAAGACAGAAGCAAGTGGAGGCGTGCAGTTGAAGCCCTATATTCCACTAGGAACCCAAGGGAACAATAATAATATATATAATAAAAGTTGTTGTTGTTTGTGGTGGTGAGTGGAGAAGGAAGGAAATGAAACGATGCGAAAAACAGTGTGGGTTAATTCTCCAAGTTTTTGGCTTAGTTCATCTTTTTTTGTGCAATTTCTTATGAAAGTATTGAAGACAAAACAACAAGTGTGTGCAACAAGTGGATAAGTTTTTTCTGTATTGCAGTTTTATCACGATTAGCTTTCAAAAAGATATGAAGAGTTTTTGTGATGCAATCGCATTTCTTTTTCTAAAGTTGTATAGTCATAACTAACACGCGTATTTCCCAGCTCTGTCTTGCTTCGTGGGGGGGGGGGTATCATGATAACAATCTAACAACCTGATTGCCATCTTAAAATTTGTAAAATTGTACTTTCATAACGTTTCAATTTAATATAGTGAAAATATTCATTCAGACATCTTCTATCTATAAAACACAAAATATAATTGAGCCAGCAAAGAATATCCCTTTCGATAAATTCCTCCTCCTCTTCTCGCTCTACAATTATATCTATATATGCATGTTTATATACATAGAATATTCTAGATTAGTAGTCAATAACAATATTAGTGTGTGCTTTCTAAATAATATCGATTTGTAAAGTAAGATCACAATGGAATCACCACAGTTCATTAAAGATGCTTAAATTGTAATAATAATAACAAATAAATAGTAGCAAATAGAATATCAACTAAAATAATGAAAAGTCCACACAACTCAGGATCATTCAAACCTAGATGGCCAAGTGGGTAAGGATGATAATGTCTGAACCAACCAACTTCTTTTGAATGCACAAATTAGACTTCTTAATCTGGATCCCAACGGCCAGCCAGCCAGCCTCAGCAATATTTAGTAGTCGAACTCTTAAGGCGAAATTGAGATTTGTTGGTATGCGGTAAATGACCTTGAAAGCCACCTGGTTAACATCAATCAGTCTTGTGTTGTGTATCCACAAGATGAGTGAGATAGAATAGCGCTGCGAATAGATAGATTTTGTTTGTCCTTTACTTAGCCAACAAACCACTGTGCAGGGTGGGTGATGTTCGGAAATTCGACGAGAAATATGCCTAGTTGTACGGCGTACGCAGGTAACTGGCTCACTCCACAGCGGGAGCAGTTCAATTGATAGATACACACACATGGAAGAGGCGAAATTAGGCAGTTTGTCTTTTACTCCCGAACGAGCGCAAAAGAGGAGTGGTTTTGAAGACACAGAGTAATTCGACAGCAGCACTGAATGCTCTTTTTACCGCCTCATTTCTAAGGCGCTGATGTGGTCTCCAAGGAACTGCATTTGTAAGAATGAGGCCTTCCTTTCTCGGTACCTTGGGTTGCTTTGATTTTAGATTCATATTCTTAATAATAAAATTTTCTGGATAACCATTTCCACTCAGCAACCGTTTAATATTATTAACTTCCTCATCAAGACATTCATCCGATCAGATTGCTCTTGCTCTGTGGTGGACCAAGCACTTTATCAGATTGCGTTTGTATTTTAAGGGCACGAAGCTGAAAAAAATGAGTATACTGACAGTCAGTTGATGTAGGTTTTCTAGAAACACTTCCTCTTCTTATTGTGCCATCCTCTTTTCTGGTCATAAGGACGTCTAGAAATGAAATACTAGAGTCTTTTTCCTTCCCAATAGTAAATTTTTTGTAGGATGAACCTCGTTAAGTTTATCCAGGATGGTCTTTGCTTCCTTCTCTTCATTTTCCCTAATCAAAAATGTATCATGCTTGTGCCGACAATAGAATTCAAGTTCATTATTGACATCCTTCCAAGGCCCTTTATTTTCTAGTTTTGGTAGGAAAATATCGGCTATTATGATTCCTAGTTGTGATCCCATCGCCCCCGCACCTTCGATTTGTCAATATAGTTGCTTATTAATCAAAAAGTGGACATTCATTTTGCATTTCAAAAGAGAAGCTCTTTCATCATAAAAGATATAGGAATGCCAACTTCGATGTTTCGTCTTATGAGGAGTTCTTCGCATACAAAGTCCACTGTTTCCATAAGGGAGTGGTGGTACGTACATTGGTGAATAAGGAAGGATACGTCAACAAATGATATCATGAATTTATTGTCAAAACATTTAAATCTTTTATGCTTTCAACAAATCCAAAGTATCCTTTACAGCACTATTCTGTCTTCTCCTGTCTCAGTATTATTATTATTGTCTCCTTTAATTCCTAGAGGAACATGGGGCTTCAGCCACACATCTCCATTTCGTTCGGTCCTCTGCTAACGTTTTCAACTGGCTCCAAGTCTGCCCACACGTTTTCATCTCCTCTTCACATCACCTCCTCCAAGTCACCCAACCTCACACTGACGACCAACTCGCTGCTTCCCTTTCGGGTTCCACTGCAGCAATGGCTTGTCTAGTGATGTCACTTGATGGTTTGTTTCCTCAGAGTATGGCCACAATCCAATCCACCTCCATTTCTTCCTGCCTATTTGTTTCACAATCGGTTCCTGCTGTGTTGGTTTGCTCCCAGAGATCCCTGTTGCTGATCTTTTCTGGCCAGCCATCTGATCTTGAGCGGTGTTGAGCGAAGACATCTAGCTGTTGATGAAGGTCTGTAGTTTGTTTGAGATGCTCTTTATGACGCGCTGGCCAAGTCTCTGATCCGTATTGTGAGTGGCACTGACTGACTTCACATTGGAGTTGAAAATCCGGATCTTATTTTTGATGCTGAGTGTTGTTGATCTCCACACAGACTTGAGAGTAGGGAAGGCTTGTCTTGCTTTTCCGATTCTTGCTTTGATATCCTCGTCAGTAGTGTCCGCCTGTAGTTGAAACGATGCTTCCCAGGTAGGTAAAGGAGGTTGTTTCTTTCAGGTTCCTCCCATTTATGCTGATCGTTGTCTGTTCTTGTTGTTCTTGTCCAGGAATCTTCATTACCTCTGTTTTCTCTATGTTCACCTGAAGTCCTATCTTCTCTGTATGTTTCTTCTTCCAACATGTTGCTTTTCGCTTGCATATCTTCCATCAGTTTGTGGGAAATCAGACATATATCATCGGCAAAGTCCAGATCCTCCAAGTTCTGTTTTGTTTGAGTCCTTTTTATGCCTGTTTCCTCGTTGCTTGACCCACTGTCTGTCGCATTATGCAATCTACTGCAATCAGTAAAATCATTGGCGATAGTAGGCAGCCAGCTTGTCTTACTCCTGTCCTCACTTCGAAGGATTCCGTAAGTTTCCCGTTGTGGATTACTTGGCATGCAGCGTTGTCGTACAACTAACTGTTGGATGAGATGTATAATTGTCGGTGGCACCCCTTGGGTAGTAGCGAAGTAGTTCTTAAATCACCTCTTGATCGACGCTGCGCTATCGAAGGCCTTTCAAAGTCGATGAAGTTGAATGAGATAGAAAGGTGACTGTCATTCGAAGCAGACTTTGTTCAATGATGATCAGTAATGTGGCGATCTGATCAATGCATGACTTGTTTCTCCTGAATCCAGCCAGCCTGTTCCGGTCGAAGTTTTTCATCCAGGTCGGAGTGTTAGATTCTCTCCAGGATGATGCGGCTTAGTATTTTGCTTGGGATGGACAGGAGCATAATTCCGCGCCAGTTCTTGCATTGTCTCAGTAGTAAGCCTCTACTTATTAGTGAGGGTCAACTTTTCATTAAAATACCGTTAATTTTTTAATTTTAGAGTGTTTTTAATGCGTTCGTTTATCTAATTTCTTTTTTTTTCAAACCACAGATTTATGCACATGGCTATCATAAATCGATCGGACGGATCATACATCGGTGGAATCAAGAGTTCGACAGTTTCCGTATCGACTTCCCCCTAGATTTGGATTATCGTATGAAACTTCTGCTTATATGCGCCGCAATATTTTTGGTAAGTGTTGAAAAAAAGAAATTTTTTTTACTAACGAGTAGTTTATAAAATTTATTGTGTATGGAATTTTAACCTTTTGCTTTTTAATTGATTAAAAATGCCCATTAAAATAACTTCCAAAAGAATAGACACGGAACAAAGAGTACTCTTTTCGATAAATTCATCAACAGGTTGTACAATTATATACATACATTATAATGAATGAATGAATGAATTAGTCTTATGAACGACATTAATGTTGCTGTTTAAATAACATCGAATCAATAATATTGATTGATTACAGCTGAACAGCATCAACATAAAATAAGCTGAATGTCAGAACAATTATGAAAGATAATATTACAAATTCATGAATGTTTAGTCTCTACTGAGGGCTAGAGCAGTGGTAGGGCCTGGATGATACCTTTATTCTTTGTGATAATGGTTCTGATAAGAGTACAATAATTACTGAATTCAATGAAGTACATTCGGCTATGAAATTCACATGCGAAGAGGAATCCCAAGTCAGAATTACCTTCCTGGATGTCCTACTTACAAGAAAAGCAGACGGTAGCATAAAAAAGAAATTTGAATAGAAAAAGCACTTGGACAACAGGACAATATACACACACTTTCACAGCTTCGTTCCTGTCAATTACAAAAGAAATTTAGTGAAGACCCTCAGCCACAGAGTCAGTTAGAGCTATATGCTCAGAAGAAGTAATTAAAGATGAATTAAGCATGGTATATGATACTTTAATCGAAAATGGTTATCCTGACAAATTTATCAAGAAACATATGACAAAGCAAGCCGAAAAGAACTACTCACTATCTGTAAACAAGAAGCCTCTTTATATACGACTGCAATTCAAGGGCATGGATATACCAAGTGAGATAATTACGAAGAAATTAAGAAAATCAGTTCAAAGAACTTTTAATGCTAGCGGCGAACTACACGTCTTATTCTCTACACGACCGATGGTGCTACCTCGACTGAAAGATGAAGTACCTAGACTAGCTGGCCACTTCAAATTGTATTTATCAATTCAACTGCGCTTGTGGAGCGAGTTATGTTGGCCGTTGCTCTAGGAACTTGATTTTTCGTGCTCACTCGAGAACATATCCCACTATGGCTAAGTAAAGGTGTAGTTAAAACTATTAACAGCTCGATATTAGACCATCTGGTGCAAAGCGGTCACAAAGCCAGCCAGTATTGAAGAATCCTTCTCTACAATATACCGGGTGCCTAACAAACTACCAAAATCGTCGAAGTACCGAATGTTCCCCCAAACAGCAGAGGCTATTGCAATTCACCTCAAACAACCAGTGCTCTGTGTTAAAAAGAAACAAGTCGAGGTAGCCACTACTACTGCCCTGGCCCACAGTAGAAATTATAAACTCACGAATTTGTACTATTACCTTTCTTAATTCTTCTGACATTCAGCTTATTTTATGTTGATGCTGTTCAGCTGTAATTTATCAATATTATTGATTTGATGTTATTTAAACATTAATATCGTTCATACGACTAATTGATTCATTCATTCATTATAATGTATATATAACTGTAGAACCTGATGATGAAGGGGTTATCGAAAAGAGTACTCTTTGTTCCATGTCCATTCTGTTTTTTTTCACCATATCTTGGTTTCTGTAAGTGGAGTGATACAGAAAATTACCGAATTACACTTATGCAATCGCCATACGGAACCGACGGCTCATCAAACATGTGATTGATTTTAAAATTTACTCGGTTACAGCTGTGATCATGAGCTGAAATCAGAGAGAGAGTTCTGGAAAACTATTTCGTCTCTGTTTGGGACTCTTCATCTGCACGCACCCATTGAGGTGAGGTGTGAATCCAAGATTTCTTGGTTATATAAGGCGAGCTAGCCCATAGACTATTCAGCCAGACTGGGAATGGATCCAAAGGGGCCATGATTTCCTTTTGTGCCGGTTACTGATGAATAGCTCAACCACCAGCCAGTGTTATTGACGAGTAACTGTGTTCTCCTACACCTTACTGGTCACGACTTCGCCACCCCACCCCACCCCTTTGACGACACCGGATAACCATTGTATAGAGCTGAGTCCGCTGAACAATTCCATATTAGTTTGTTTATTAGATGGATGTATCACACAGTCAGTCAGTGAAACAGTATTAGTATTTACTGGATGACACAGTTTCGAACACAATTCATTATTGCTGTTCATAATCATTTCCTCATCAATTATAATCACACGACTTCGAAACTTGAGTTTTATAGTTTTCTTTGTTCTCTCCTATTTGTCGTAGTTGGGGTAGACAGGTGTTGAATCATTCCTATTACACGTATTCACTCTCAGTTGATTCGATAAACAAAGCTTCCGTTATCAATCTCTCCCTCCCTCCACCCTGCTGTGACATTAGATTTTAAAACTGTCATTTTATCCCATCCAGCCTATTGTATAGTTGTGTGTAATTGCATGTAGTGAGTGGTATAGCTGAACTATTCTTCAGAATTCCTATCCTATTCGGGTCAACCAATCTAGATTTCGCTGATAGGATTTTATGCTCGGCTAGTCTAACTCACTGACCCTGTTCTACTACTTTGACCTATGTATTTGACCTGACAATCATTGCAGCAGCAGGGGATTAGATAAACTAAATTGTTTTGTTGGTTAAAGGCTCCACTGGCAGGATTGATTCTTTAACCGACAAAGCTTGTTTGTAATTGAGTATGTGGTTGGTTTCAATGGTAGCCACTTTTATTCCTTCCTGCCTTCCTTGTTAAGAATTCTGCGTAATGTGGTTTCCGAGGTTCCTTCCTTGTATGGAATTACTACTGATGATTTAGATTCCTTATTATTGGTGTCGTCATTAATATTATTATTATTATCACTATCACTACTATCATTATTTATTTTATTTTTACATTTCCCTACATACTTTCTGACTAATTTATCAGGGTAATTATTAAGTTTCAAGGATTCTCTTATATGTGTCACTTCCTGTCTTAGATTTATTTCCTTGGTACTAATTAGTTTTTGTGCTCTATCATGAAGAGATGCAGGTACATCCAACTGATGAGTGACAAATAGGAGGAAACGTACACAACTCCATGTTCCACTGCTAACACTACCATCGACCAAGTGACACACTAAGTGTGCTTGAAGATATCATTGAAGCGGTCGTTATGACAGCCGATGTGTCTGTCAGTAGGTACCGACAATTCGACAGAAAACTCAAAATAATTTTTTGTTAAATAAGTAGAATTTCATTCTTTTTAGCTTTACGAGTTGATCACGGATTGATACCAGTTAGAGAAGCATTGAAAACCAGTCACAGGGAGTACTGCCAGACAGCCAGCTGTTTCATCAGCCTAGTTTGGGAATCATCGGCAGTACGCACCCACCACAGGCGGTTCCAACCTAGGACCCATCAGATTAATTTTTTCTATAGTTTTGTTTGTAAGGGTTAGTTTGTTTTTACGAGTTTGACCACGCACGGATTGATATCAGTTAGAGAAGCATTGAAAACCAGCATTGTGGGGAGTACTGGACAGCCAGCTGTGTCATCCCAGTTAGGGAATCTAGTGAGAAGTCACGACCATTGAGGTCCAACCAGTAGTCAAGTGTGAGGATGGATGTCCCACCGACGACACTGGTTGGTCCCAGTCGCGCCAAATGCATCACGAATTGGTAGAAGTAAGAATTCATGGACTGGCTGGCCATTTAATCGGGTCGGGCTCCAGTGAGTGGCTGAATGGTATACGAGTCAGCCAGCTTGCTCGTCTTGTAACCGGAAGGTTCTGGGTCCGAACCGGCTGTGGTGGATGCGTACTGGCGATGATTCCCAAACTACTCTGATGAAATACCTGGCTGTCCAGTACTCCCTGTGGCTGGTTTTCAATGGTTCTCTAACTGATATCAATCCGTGATCAACTCGTAAAAACAGAAAAACTAACCCTTACAAGCGAAGCTATAGAGTTTAATTCATTAAACAGTTTCTGACTGCTTCGATAGCCATATTTATTATTGGTATACGTGTATATAAACTGACAATATCAAAACTGACCACTTTTTCTTCATTATCTAATTTTAAACTATCTAATCCATCTATGTTTTAGTTCATTAGAATTTGTTAGTCTTGATGATTCTGAGTGGCTTTTGAGGGGATTTAATACCATGGCTAAATATATTTAGATACTTCATAAATAGGTGAATTTCTAAAATCAACTGTAGATCTGTCTAATAGGGCATTCTGACTTATGAACTTTAACAACACCATACATCCTACTGGGGGTTATTAGTTCTGGGCATTAAATTCAACCACTTAGACTCACCTAGAAACGGCTTCATTCGGCGTATAAGGTCCGCTGTGAATTTCGTAACTTAATTCACAACTGTGTCTATGTCTTTTATCTTACATACACTGATCTGTCGACTACAGCTCATGTTAGCTTCTATAAAAATATAAACAGAAATTCTGGATACTTTGCCTATATTCTTTATGTCTTCCACCTTGGTAAAGTCCAGTTGTTGGCAACTACCGTATTCATCAACTAACACCGATTACCTCATTTCATATTTCAAGCTGAAAAAAACAGAAATTATCAGACATTTCGCCTTAAGAAGCTAAATGTTCGACAGTATGAAACAAGGGAAATATAAGACAAAGAGAGGCGGCATTTTTAGCTTCGTTAATGAAACGAACCCATCAGTGGTATATACAAGAGGGTCAACTTAGCTCAGAAAATGAAGTCACACTCTAAATCACCCAAATTTAGACAAACTACTTGACGCAGTTGGCAAATTAATTCGCCATTCACAACTTACACAGTTTAACAGTAGTTTGGGAATCATCGGAAGTACGCACCCACCGCAGGCGGTTCGAACCAAGGACCTTCCGGGTACAAGGCCAGCAAGCTAGCTGACTCCTATATCATTCAGCCACAACTCACCGGGACCCGATTCAATCGCCATCCAACCCATGAGTTCTTACTTCGACCAATTCGTGATTTAGCGCGACTGGCACCAAC